ACAGGAGGACGATTAGGGTCCTCAACCAAAGCCTTTGGCTCAAAAGCCTAACCGCAAGGCAGCGGTGTTTGGCGGAAAAATGCAAATGCATTACCATTTCTACGGAACAAGTCGCCATATGTTCCAAACCCCAACCTAGAGGACCAGGAGACTGTGTTCGTCAGACCTCTAACCATTGACCAACCTGGTATGAGAGACTCTGTGAGTGTCGCGGGACACTCCTCAGTATAGCTCAATGGATCGCTGAGGTGCGCAAACCGTCACACCACGGTAAGGTCCAGTCTCTTCGTGACGGAAACCGACATAGCTAGACATAAATCAGTTTCCATGCTAAACATTGCTCTCGTTTCCATCGTTCCCTGAAGAGTGACAGCCACTGTTGCTGGAACCATGGAGTCAGAAATTCTTCTGTTTGCTCTTTTCTCGATCGATCGATCCAATATCGAATTTCGCAGGACAAACTGCCGTATTTATAACTAAGTTTCCTCACTGACTCTTCATTTCCCAATGAAAAATCCCTGGTGTGGAAGCACGTCGGCAGACCTCACAAGCTTTTTGTCCAACGGGTTGTAGAAATGGGAAAGCGTTTTTTATTCGCTCTGATTTGTGGATATGACTACCATTGTAGTTTTTTTACTTTCGGCGGCACAAGACAATTGCTCTTTTCTCCCACTTTTGAAAATTTGAACACGTTTTCAAAATACGACATGCACAACTCCAGTTTGATGAACTGAACGATTAGTCAATGTGGCGCCAACGTCATCTGCAGGACTACCTGAGGCAGTAAGCAATAATCCATACTCCGGAAAGGTGGCGCCTAACGGTGCTAATACGGAAGAGATCAGAATCTCTTGGCACACTCGGAGCAACTTGTTCACTGTGACGTTTTACGACGAGAGTTTAAATTTGCAATATTGTCACTGTCAATCTACCCCATTCCTTCTACAATCAGGGAGAAAAGCGGTTTCGCGCTCCACCAGGTTGAACAATGGGCTTCCAACATCCGAAGTGAACCAGTCGCCTACATCTAACCGAGGAGCCTCGTATGACCCCGAGAGTCACGTATGAAGGGGCCGAGTTGCTGGCACTGTTCACGATGTCTACTCGATGTCTCAAACGCCTCCAAGTTACTATCCTGGCTGTACCAATCGATCGGAACCTGTTGAGACCGGTTGAACACGTTTGTCTGATTACTCGTGCACAGTTACTAAAGAGAGCAACTAAACGGCTGCCATGTGAGAAAACACCGTCATCATCAGTCACGTGATTTTGCAGCGGTTTGTATAAAAGATTCTGATGACTCCTGACGTAGAAATCACAAGGTTTTGACTTGAATAATTACTAAATGCGTTAACCCGCCATCCAAATGGACTTCATTTTTAAGCCGGTAACGAAGCAAGAATCTGCCTTCTGACTTTGTCCGGATACTCTCACTTGCATACGAACCTGGTTTTGACTCAACCGAATCCCGGTGAATCCCTTGTTTGTGGTGGCTTTCTCCAACTGAATGTGCTGCACAAAGCCTGCCCACTACCTTGTTATCACACTCATGTGGCTACAGAAGACCGTTCAATAGCTAACGACCGCCCTTTGTGGGGAGGTGAGCGCAATCTCCAGGTAGAAACCAAATTTGGATGCAAGTGACATTAGTTGACTATTTTTGTCTAATTTTAGTTCATGCAGGACATAAGGTTGGTCGATGAAAAATTCTAGGAAGGCTCCTAGCTGATGAGCTTGAAATGGAAGAACGAAGCAGGTCTTAGGTTGTCCAGGGCATTTCAGCGACCTTATGAGTAGTGGAAGTTACACCAACGGTGAAAATGTAAGTAAACGCTGTGTAGATTTTCTGAAAAGATGGGCATCTATCTCTAAGAGTGAGCACTTCTCGCAAAGAATGGTTTTCGGTTTTTTGAACCTGTTCGTTCTTGGAGCGAGTAATGTAGAAAAAATTGAATGATTGACTTGTAGTGGAGTTTCCGAGAATTTGGGCTAAAAGTTGCCAGATAAATCAATTGTTATTCGAGAGTTACGTTCGAGACAAGGATGAAACAAGAAGGGGATCACATGGAGGCGCAAAGCCCGTGGTCACAGATCAGTGGGGCACTACATTCATGACTTGTCAGAGTAAAAGAGCGCACATTTTCTTGGTGTTTGAAGACCAAGGAGAGTTCATATGGCACTGGCACTCATGGGTAATGGACTGCAGCCTTATTTCGGGAGTTTGTTCAATCTTGCTCAATAGTCTCGCCCTGATATCACTGTCTGAATGCGACTGAAGACCACATATAAAAATAAGGCACTTGAACTGGTCTTCCGTCATGGCAGATAACTTGAATTGTTCGCATTCAAGGATGACTCTACCGGCATAAGTGATGTATGTAGTCCTCAGATTCCTTTCTCGCCAGTTTCACAGTTTGCTAGGGAATATTAAACAAGGAGGAACGCTCAACGAAACTCATTGAAAGTTGCTGAACGGCTTTGTCAAAACTGAGATCTCGCGTGTTCTTAGGCAGGATAAAGTTGGAACACCGTGTGTGTTCCGTTGTGCCAAGCTTTCTGAGCAATAAGCGTACTCTCCAGGCATCATCTTTGTGCTTCACTTCGACTTGAAAAACATCTTCGTAACGTCTGAACCACGAATCGAAGGTTGGACTGGCATCAGGGTCATAATGGAACTCCGTGATGAAGTTGGCAACTGAGTGGACTGAATTTGTATCTGGAGCGGAATTTGGTGGTTGAATTTTAAGTTGCTGCGTCAATGTTTCCATCATAAGTGGTTGCGCCGCTTCAAACCGGTTTTGTTGTTGCAGCGGAATTTCTTTCAACGCTTCAGCAGTTACTGTCATAGTTCCGTGAGTTTGGGCGTCAACAATCTGTTATATCTGACTGCTGTTCGCGCTTCAGTGCGTAGTACCGGAAAAGGACTCACCAACAAGGAACACAACAGATTTATTGCAAACAAGCGAGTACGTGCAAGCGCGAAGGTAAAAAAAGCTTGACGCTGTTTGAAGGACACTTTTTGACATTGATCCGACATGTGTTTAGTGAACACCCATCACCTTCGACCCGAACTGCTTCACAGTCGGGCATACTTCTTTGTATCGTAGTCGGTCGTGCTTCTGTTCCGTGCCTAAACACTCATCAGCTTTTGATGAATTGCGTGAGTTGTAAAAGGGGAGCTGTTTAGGTAATCTGGATGAAAGTTCCAGTTTTTTCGCTAATTGAAGAGATATGGTTTCTTCTGCAAGAGTAGAACGTGAGGGAAAGTCATGTCAGATTGCCCCGGACAGACTCTGGGCTGGTTGGCTTATAGGTGGCACATCTTTCTCACTGAGGAACGAAATTTGACTCCGTCTATAGGGTAGCCGGCAATCATCCAGGACAATCAATCAATCAATCGATCAATCAACCAATCAATCAATCAATCAATCAATCAATCAATCAATCAATCAATCAATCAATCAATCAATCAATCAATCAATCAATCAATCAATCAATCAATCAATCAATCAATCAATCAATCAATCAATCAATCAATCAATCAATCAATCAATCAATCAATCAATCAATCAATCAATCAATCAATCAATCAATCAATCAATCAGTCAGTCAGTCAGTCATTCAGTCAACCAAAAAAGAAAGAAGGCACTCAGTCCATCAATCAATTAATTCGGCAGCAGCCATGATTGATAAAAGTTAAATTCAAATAGCCCGAGGTCCCTTGTAACCGTCGCACTCGCCTGTGTTCAATAAATCTGTTGTGTTCCTTGTTGGCGAGTCTTTACCCGATACTAAGCCACTGGATCCGGAACGGCAGTAAGACATATCATTTCCTCTGTGAGGAGGATGAGAAACAAATACGTTCACTGAAATGGTCAGAGTTAGTGAAGAAATCGATCTGACGGAACACGATACCTAAATGGTCAGCCAAGTCCTCTAAGCTTGCGCGTGAGGACCACCGGAAATGCAAAGTTCTGCAGTGCATTTGGACAACGAAATAGGTTCGTAGACAGAACACAGAGGATGGCTCTAAGCGAAACATAAATGCGTGAAAAGGGTATGGCTGAAGTTGGAAATCAGATGAGTAGGTATGAATGGCAGAAGAATGTGACAGGAACAATCAAGAGTGGCTGTAAGTATAAAGGTTGCCTTTAAAACGGGAAAACCGGAGCAGGTGGCAGGTAGGTCGCTGGAAACGGATGACTTTTACGAACCTAGTGTTTTGAGTTTCGATGGCTAGGATAAGACGGGATAGAACTTGGGTTGGATGATGAAGCGATTGGCCACTGCGGTTCACACTTCATGTGTTGCACCAGTATCTTGTGAAATTGCAAGGTGGATACTGCAGTCTAGATACAGTGTCTCACGAGAAACGGACTGACATCCCGACTTCAGGAATTTGGACTGGCGAAGAACGTCTGGATGGTGGGATTTCCCAGAACAATGGTTGTCCCCGGATAAACTAACGGCCAGGTGGTAAAAGTGTTTACCGACTATATACACAGAAGTTTTCCTCAACGACTGAGGGTGCAAAGACCCGTCCCTATCAATGCCACAAAGAAGAATCAATCAAGTAGAACATAAAGTTGACGGAAACTCGGGGACTGCGCCTACCTGATGAGCCCCAAAAAGGGCGAAACCGGTCGTAGGCTGTCAACGGATTTTCAGCAACCTTATGAGTAGTACATTACAAATATATACAAGAATCAATCACATCTGTGTCACAGTTTGTAATCCTAAGTTATATGCAAAGCACAACGACACAATTTCATTGGGTCTCTTCGTGCTGCACCCCAGTACTTGAACATTTCGTTCCGTTAGATGCCCACAGCCTGTGCGTCCTTTCACATCTTATCAGGACTTTCCCAGGATGGATGGATGTCAATGTTATCACTGACGTGTATCTCACTTGACTTTCCCGTTGGAAATTAGTAAACGGAGCTCTATCGGTTTTTTTCTCCCATTAAAACGGATAGTTGGTACAATTTTTCTGGGTATTGTAAGGCTATTTACTCCTACGATAACTGTGTTCACGATCTGCGTTTTCTGTGACCCAGTTAGTCCAATGAAAACTCCGTGACACCCCTCCCACAAACGCGTACAAATTTCGGTCTAGTGTGACGTTTTACTCCAGGTGAGTACACCGTGGAATGCCAATGAACTAAATTCACGTTTTAAGATGATTATCCCTCTGTACATTCATGCTAATCGAACGTGTCTACCCACACACTCGCAGGGCAATGACCACACAGTTAGTCACTGCGTTCACGTGATACTTTGTGCTGTCTTTCTTGCATTCAGGCATTCTGTCTACAAACATTTCTTGTCACGTGATAGAGAGATGGAGATATTTTTGCGACCAGGTCATCGTTGACATTGTTTCAATTTAGCTGAGAGGTTTTTCTGTGACGTGGTCAAAGGTAAACATCAACAATTTTCCATTCGCGTTTCATCTACATCCTGTATACGTTATTAATGTAACGGTGATACTACTGATTGGGAGGGGGCATGCGAGTAGTATGTTTTCTCGTAAATCTGCTTTGCGTCTATTGAAAAGTGAGATCTGTTACAGAATATGTGGAGTCGCTTCGTAGCACTTGCTTGCAATCGAGTAACAGTCAATGAATACCTAGGAAAGTTCAGGAAGACGCGTTCAAGGAGAAGATGAATATTCAGTTTTGTAAACAAGATGCATATGAGAGTTCTGCTCCCCCGTCCAATAGTTTGTAACGGTTCAGTTGGTGTTTCTCTAATAAACAACCCCACAGCGAGAGCTTTCTTCTTTCCATTGTTATCAAAGGTTGTGTTCTTGCGGACTGATGTTTCTGTTCAATAACTTTCTAAGCTATCGTATTCCTCAGAACTCCGGGAACCTGTCCAAAAGACCTTAGGACTACTCTCCGTCCAATTAGTGAGTGGTTTACTTTCCTAACAATTAAAGTTTGCCGTGTTGTTCTCTGTTTGTTTTAATCGCCGAAAGAAATAAATCATTCACTTTGAACTTCACCGTTGTTCTAAACACGCGATGTAATAAATAATGAATAATAATCGTTCAGCTGTAATGACCTTTAGGCGCCTAGTGGCCATACCACCCGCGGGAAGTACGAGAGCCCAGGTACTGCCAGGTTACTCTAGCTTTGACGGGAGCAGACGATAAACCGAGGTTGGGTTCGCACCATTGACCTTTCGGACACGCTAACCGTTGAGCTGTCACGAGCACATCCGCAAGGTAGCTCTTGACTTGGTGATAAGACTAGAAAAATAATTCATATTTGTCTTGTTGTATTCTTGACTCCTTGAAGAAAGCTAGTGGTCCTTGCTTGGAGGTAATCCCTGCAGATTCCCCCGATAAATGCGAATTTTCCCCAAGTTGGTTTTTGTTTCGGCGGTTGCAGAGCCAACTGTCTTTTCAAGCCCGGACAAATACAGTGTCACCCAAAACACCTGTCACTTGATTATATGGGTCCCTTCGAACAGTTATCAAAACTGAATGCAGCGTTTTCAAAGCTTACTGAAAATAAAGCCAGTTGGCAACGTTCCAGAGGTTCCATTTCAATCTCCATCAACCCGGACAACAAAACGTGTTTGCCCAATCATCAAAGACAATTCTTCCAGCTGACAACGGTCTACGACAGAAACGGACTCTCTTCGGTCGGAGAACAAGCTCCGAACGTAACTGGACTACACAACTGCCAATGGAATAACCGTTTTCGTTGGGAGAGATTTAATTGGTTGCTCTTCACTTGCCCTTCACAGGTGACTTACATTTTTAGCATCACATTTGGCCCGCCTAGAACTTGTCACATGATCTCTGTAAGTAGCCCGTATTCGGCTGCACATGACACGCCTGTACGCGTCAGTGATCAATAAATCAACTGATTCGCACGTTCATTGGCTTTCTGGTTTGGCTGAGCGCATGAGGCTATCAAGCAGCTATCCAGACTCGGGGTCACGGTATTAAGAAGGCATTAGGAAAACTGTGGTCCACAACAGGACCATGTATGGAGGTTTTTCTACTTCAATACCATTGGAACAGCCAACAGCTGCACGATTTTTGAAAATAGAATCGATGTTACTTCGGTCTGCTCAGTTGTTCTCTTACCCTGTGACACAAGTAATGTGATTTGGTCCACACCAAAGAAATACACATAGTGGACAAGGGATCCGGTCCTTATAAAACCCATCAGCAGTACATTTCTTTGTTCATCTTTCAGACAGAAGTCACGTAGAGAGAATATGTTACTATAGTAAGGTAACAGCTCTTGCTAAACGCGCTCCCAGCAGTTATCTGGGTGTTGTCCCGCCTAATACGATTCTTCAGTCATATACAAATGGCGGGAAACGTTGGTCCGGTAATAATGGTCGGGAGTTCGAATTTCACCACAGACAAGTACTGATACTACTGGTAAACTCCGAGAGGATCGAAACTAGCATCCTGGCATCCCCCCTTCTTAGATGCCGATTAAACAAAACGATCACTCCAAATAAGACGGACAGAGTGAGCTATCCCTCCAATGTGTCACCGGGTATTTGCCCAACTTCAAAACATTTCAACTAACTGCTTTACCCGCAATCTGACAGCTGAAGACAATAAGCTGTCCTGGAGTTTGTCTACACAGGTCTGACTAAGTTGCTCTGAGCATCACTCACAGCAGCCCAGAGGTACTCTAGTTACTGAAACCCATAAATACAGGAAGCCGGCCTAACATTTCAACTAAAGATATATCATAGCTGGTACTACCTGAAATCTGTCTTCCATTCAGGGGAGAGCTATCCTTCCTCAAGCTGTGCCCAAAAATCCAAGGAGCGTTGTACAGATGTCAAATCCTTATCAGGAATCATCAGCATCGCGAATTTCACGAACTCACAACCATTCAGGTAGGAGCGTCCAGTTAGCATTGTGATCAACTTGTTCTCATTCCGTAATCACAAAATTCACGTCACGCGGGCAACATTGTCCAGTAACGCTTCCACGAAATATCGCTGTGCTAAAAATTTCCATGGAATATGAACCACATTCTGACAAAATATTTCCCAGCCCATTTTCACAAAGTCAGCATTTTTGTTATGGAACGTTGTAGCTACCCGGTCACCCACATACTTGACTGTTCACCTCACAGTCGCTCACTGGATCACGAGGCTTCTTTTTTTCATACTCACAAACCACGTCACATTGGGGTGACTCATCGGACATCGATTGTCTGCACCGTCTAGTGAGCATAGCAACAGCTCATGTGCTGACGCGCCCACGTACGCGCAAACGGACCTACATATAGGGAAACCGAACACAGTCAGGACACAGAGACTCGCGCGCGCGCATGGAGCAGGAAGTCAACCACTCTCCACAA